ACTTACCATTTAGAGTATTGGATGGAATTACACTTCCTATGTTTTTAAGCCACCCTTCACGCATAATGGTATTATTCGGCAACTTGTGGAAGCTTACTTCCTCCGGAGTAGACGTTATGTTGGTGTTCTTACACGCTTTAACAATACACCGCATCATTTTACTTCAAATTTTCACTTTAATTTCAAAATAACAGGCCTGCACGTTTCATTCAGGAGACGGCTAAAGACAGACTGAGATAGATGCTCCACGGCGCATGCATAAAAGAGACACTACTAATTCAGTACTGCCAACCTTTCTAAGTTGGCCGCCCTATGTTTTTCGGTGACAATCGCGTTGAAAAGGGGCGTGGTTTACGAGTTCTGAACACACCATGTATATTTCCACCATGGTTATGACTGTTTAAGCGGGGAGCACAGACCATGGTTGTAATACCATGGTGGAAGGATTACATCACAGTATATACAGTAGCGCAACTCTCTGTCGGCACCTTTGATGTTAAGCCAGCGGCACACGGTGCTTTTTTTCCTGCTGGATTGCTAGCAGGATTTGCGTGCTTGCTGCCGTGTTGGCAGCAGTGCTGGCTGTGCTGTTGGCTGTGTTGCTAGCTTGGCTTCAGACGATGCAAGTTTTCGTACTGGCTGAGCAACAGAGTAACTGGAATTCCTAACCTGAGTAGAACTAACGCTTAAATGTCTCGGTTCGTGAGGCAGCCAAGAGCGACGCTTTTTCTGCATTTATTTTGTTTCATGGAAAAATGCGTCGAATGAGTATAATTTCAACGATTTTTGAGGTGATTATTCATTTGACCTTTACCAAATCTTACATGGAACAAATTGTTGCTATAGCACATCGTCGTAGATGTGCAGTAGCAATATTTTTAATTATTGAAATATTGCGACGACAACAACAGAATCATTATTATCGTCGTCGTTTGTGGAGTCGACAGTGGCTGCAACGTCGAAGCACGCACGATAGTGCTCTTACAATGTTATTTAATGAATTAGGGTGAATAAAATTCTATCAATTTAAAATTTTCATTTAAATTATTTTGTATTATTTTTAGTTATATTTATATTCCCTGTTTGTATATATATAGACCTGAAGATCCAAGATCTTTTACAAATTATACTCGAATGCACGAAGAGGCTATGGAAGAGATATTACTTCTTGTTACACCATATATTGAAAAACAAGATACCCTAATGAGAGATGCAATTTCTCCTCGAATGAGACTGAGTGCAACCCTCCGATATTTAGCAACTGGTAACTCTTTTCAAGATCTTGCATATTCCACAAGAATTGCTCCAAATACTCTGTCGCAGATTGTACCAGAGACATTGCAGGCTATCATTACAGTACTAGAAGAAAAAAAAGTAATATGCTTTCCGTCTAAGCCTGAAGATTGGGAAATTGTGG